TACACCCAAGGTCATGTAGTAATTAGTGGCAAAGATGGGACTGGAACCTAGAACCATGCTTTTTATTACCACAATGGTTCCCTAGATGAGTAAGATGCTACTGCAATTACAAGTCATCAGCAAGTGGCAACTCCCAGAAGCAGCAAGTACAACTCAAGGGAAGCAGGCGGGCAGGCAGATCCAAGGTTTAGATGGAGCACTTCAAAGCTCCGTGAAGCCTTGGTAGTTGTTCTGGGGTGCCCTGGGCAGTCGGGCTGCAGGCCCCCCAGAGCAGCCAAATCCTCAACTTGGGCATCAGTCTCCCAGCTGCTGCTACATACACACACAAAGCCCACCCAGTGACCACTCAGCTCGTGACTGCAACTAGACTACCCGTGAGCCCCAGTCTTGACTGCTTGTCTATGAGGACTCGATTCCAGCCTGTTTTCCAGCCCTCAGGACACAGAAGTTTGTGTGTTTTCTCAGTGGGTCTGTGAAGGGGCTTCTCCGACATCTTTTCCTGCCCAGCAAGGAAAGGCATTCCAGCAGGGACAAATTCTTCCCCAGGGTGGGGATGAGCCAGGAAGGGCAGGTTTGTTGTGGACAAAACCCTCCAGGATGATAGGAAGTGAAGCCCAGTGAGCAACCCAGAGCCGCAGGGAAGTGGGGCTGTGAGGCCATAGTGTCTGCTGTTGACAAAGAGTGAGCAGGTGGGAACACACAATCAGAGGAAGCCTGTGACGAGAAGAAACGACGGGGCACGGCCCCTGGAGCCTCAGGTGTGAGAGGAGCCCCGAGTGTAGGGACAAGAACGGGAAGTTATTCCTTAGGATCCAAGCCATCAAGGTGCTGCATACAGGAAGAGATGGGGGCAGGGTCAGTCCTGCCTATGCGGGGCACTGACCACTGTTTCCTGGCTAGAACAAGCGCCTCTGGGTCAGCAGGAAACAGCTGTTTTTAGAGGTGTGACTATTAGAAGGGGGAAGCATGCTTTGTAAACTGCGAAATTTCTGTACACATGTTTTTTTTCGTTTGCTATTATTCTCCTTCAGACTGTTAACTTCGGAAACTGTAACGAGTGCAAGGCAGGTGAGAGTACTGCAACAAAGAAACAGGAGAGCCAAGTTAATGTGGAGTTAGAAAGAATTTTTGACTATGGGTGTGGGGTGGGGGACGATGGATGTGAACTCTTGGAACAAAGCTTGGCTGAACCCCCCATTCATTACTTGTCAGAAACAGCCTGGGAGGCATCAGCTGCCTCGACTCTCATTTAGATCCCTAAGAGGCCTTGCCCAGCCCCTAGGGAAGGCCCGGGACAAGCAATTTATTTTATCAGATGGGGGGAGCCTGTTTTACTCATCATTTTATTCATTCAACCAGTGTTTATTGGATACCTATTGTGTGCCAGGTCCTATAATAAAAAAAAGTGTGATTACAACTGTGGTAAACACCATAAAAGAGATGTACATGATGCCAGGAGAATCTATAATGAGGATATGTAAGATATATAATCAGTTATATAAGGGCCTATGAGTTTAAGCAGGATAACAGAACTGGGACAACCAAGGAAGGGCTGATAATGAAGCTGAGCTCCAAAGGATGAGTGGACACTAACTAGGTAAAGAGGGGAATCGGAGTAACCCAGGCGAAAGGAGCAGTCTGTGTAAAGACCCTGAAAACAGATAGAGAATGGCTTGTGTATCGGTTAGCTTTTGCTGCATAACAAGTCACTCCAAAACTTTAGTGGCTTAAAACAACAACCACTTTTTTTTTAACCCACAATGTTGTGAGTCAAAAAATTGGCTAGGTTCAGCCAGGCAGTTCCATCAATCCAGGTAACGTCATAGCTGATCTTGGCTGGGACTCACTTATGCATCTGTGTCAATTGCCACGTCAGCGAAGAACTGGCTGCCCATTGGCTGGGACTCTTTGATTCTTCACCTAATGGTTGTCATTCTCCAGCAAGCTACCCTGGCTTCCTTGACGTGATAGTTAAAGGCTTCCACAAGGCAGCCAAAAAGGACAACCTCAGAAGCTCAGGTACTTTTCATGTCCGCCTCCTTTACACTTGCTATCATCCCATTGGCCAAAGCAAGGCACGTGGCTAAGCCCAGAGTTAGTGTGAACAAATTGGGGGCAGTAACTGCAACAATCTACCTCAGCGTGTTCAAGGACTTGAAAGAAAGCAGGAAGACTAGAGAGTGCAGAATAATGGGGAGCAGGACACAGGTAAAGCTAGAGGTGAGTGGGAGCCAGGACATGCAAAGCCTCCAAGAGCACCCTAAAAGTTTGGTCTTCACCCTAAAAGCAGGCAACACCTCTGGTTTCTGATCTTCTATCTTGTGGGTTTGTTCAGCATAAACAAATCCCTTGAAGGATGAACTGCCCTGGGTGACCTAGTAAAATGGGTTTTCCAAGCTTGAGAAGCTGAGGGCAGGATATGGAGCACGGTGTACCTCACACACCCCTGCCCTCAGCTCGCACAGCTGTAAATGCCCCATACCTTTCCCCTCTGGGTCTTGACCGCCTTTCCCTCAGTTGGTAACAGTCTTCTCACACCCTGCATACAAGAAGTTCCTATATCCCCAAGACTGAGTTCAGGCACCACCATCGCAGAGAAGTCCTTCTCTAAGTCCCAAGACCAGGGACATATAAAATGAGACCATGAGGGCTAGAGAATACACCTGTGACATTATAGTGGCCTTGTGGATTCTAGAATCAAGTTGGTGCAAGGCCCAGCCCTGCCCATGTGGCACACACCTGTGGGCACAGTGCTTCACACACACTGTATCCATCTTTTTATCTATCCCCCACCCCTAAGTAGACTGTTTTTCTTGAAGGACTGCCCATAACCCTAGGGCCTACACACACAAGAGTCAGAAATACTGAATGAATGAATGAATTAATTAATTAATTCCTTCACTAAACATGACCTTCCTCTGAAAGCCCCAGCCAGCATTATTAAAGTCTTCTGTCGTGGCAGTTGAGGGGATGGTGCCTCTCCAACGAGGTCAGGAGCCCCAATGCCTCCCAGTTTCAACATAAAGCCATTCACCCAGAGAAGAGAAGCCCCTGGCTCTGGAACAATCCAAGGCAGGGCAGTGATAGAGTGACGAGAAGGAGCTCCTTAGGAGACAAATGTCACAACACCATTTACTGTAACAGAGAAAGAACCAACGAGCTGTGGCCTCCATTGGAGCACATCTTCCCTAA